CCAGCCCCTCCTGCGGGACACCGGGATGTGCATCCCACCGGGATCTCCATCCCACCTCCAGCCCCTCCTGCCGGACACCGGGATGTGCATCCCACCGGGATCTCCATCCCACCTCCAGCCCCTCCTGCCGCACACCGGGATGTGCATCCCACCGGGATCTCCATCCCACCCCCAGCCCCTCCTGCCGCACACCGGGATGTGCATCCCACTGGGATCTCCATCCCACCTCCAGCCCCTCCTGCGGGACACCGGGATGTGCATCCCACCGGGATGTCCGTCCCACCCCCAGCCCCTCCTGCAGGACACCGGGATGTGCATCCCACCCCCAGCCCCTCCTGGGACACCAGGACACTCCCGAGATCCCCTGTGTGGACCCCTCTGTGTCCCCCCACCCCCGTGTCCCTCCCGGGGTTCCCATCCCACCTGGAGTCCCCTCCGGTCCAGCTCTCCGGCGGTCAGGGCGCTCTGGAGCTGCTGGAGCCGCTCCTGGAGCAGGGAACCATCGGGCACGGAGGGAGCGCTCGGAGAATCCTCCTTGGAATCGCTCTCCAGCGGGGCACTGAGCAGCTGGAATTTGCTGGAACGCTGCTCACTCTGGGCCAGCTGCACCCCAAAACCACAGCAGTGGGGCCAGAGGGAACTGGGAGGGGGGTAAGGGGGAACTGGGGGGACTGGGAGAGGGTTCAGGGCAAACGAGGGGACTGGGAAAAGGTTTGGGGGGACTGGGAGGGGATACAGGGGGAACTGGGAGGGGGGTCAGGAGGAACTGGAGTAACTGGGAGGGGGGCCAGGGGGAAGTGGGGGACTTGGAAAGGGTTCAGAGGGAACTGGGAAGGGACATGGGGGGAACTGGGGGGACTGGGGGAGGGGTACGGGGCAAACTGTGTAGGGGTTCAGGGACAACTGGGGGGAACTGGGAGGAGATTCGGGGGAAACTGGGGAGACTGGGATGGAGTTGAGCAGGAACTGGAGGGACTGGAAAGGGGTTCAGGGGGAAATGGAGAACTGTGAGAAAGGTCGGGGGAACTGGGAGGGGGTTCGGGGGAACTGGGGGGACTGGACCCCGGGCGGGGGGATTTCCCGGGATGGGGGCCACAGCTCTTTCTGGGATTTCCCGGGATCGGGGCCACACCTGTTTCTGGAGCAGCTCCGCCCGTTCCTTGGCCTCCTTGGCCTCCGCTTCCCGCTCTCCCAGTGCCCGCCGGGCCCGGCCCAGCTCCCCCTCCAGCACCCGCCGCTGCAGCTCCAGGCGGCAGCTCCGGCTTTCCAGCGCTTCCAGGCGCCGCTTGGCATCCAGGAGCTCGGCCCCCCCGGCCCGCGCCGCGCTCAGCCGCTCCTGCGGGGCGGGCACGGCTCCGGAATGCCGGCCTGGAGCCGGGATGGGCCGGGAACACGGCCCTGCCCGCCTGGCAATGCCCACAGCATTCCCACTTGGAAGCGATGTGGGAATGCCCACCTGGGCCACACAGCAATTCCCACTTGGAAGTGACATGGGAATGCCCAAGTGGGCCACACAGAATTCCCAATTGGATATGGTGGTTTGTGGCAATGCCCACCTGGGCTGCCTGGCATTCCCAGAATTCCCACCTGGATATGAAGGTTTGTGGCAATGCCCACCTGGGCCACCCAGAATTCCCACTTGGAAGCAGAGGGACACCGGGATGCCCACCTGGGCCACCCAACATTCCCATTTGGAAGTGGAGGTTTGTGGCAATGCCCACCTGGGCCGCCCAGAATTCCCAATTGGATATGGAGGTTCGTGGCAATGCCCACCTGTGCCGCCCGGCATTCCCGCTCGGAATTGCGGAGGCTCCGCTCCAGCGCCGCCACCTTGTCCCGGAGCTCGCGGCGTTCCCGCTGGGATTGGCGCAGGGTCTCCTCCTGGAGCAGCAGCGTGGCCTCGGAGCTGCTCAGGTCCCCCCGGTGCCCTGGGAAGGCACGGCCCCCACCCCCCTTCAGCGGGAAAACGGGCGGGAATGGGATGTCTGCTGGTTTTCCTGGGATTTATGGGGGATCCAGGGCGGGTTATGGGGTTTACTGGGGGTTATGGGGGACAAAGAGGGGTTTTACTGGGGTTTATGGGGATGCAGAGGGGTTTTACTGGGGTTATGGGGGACGGAAAGGGGGTTTACTGGGATTTATGGGGGATGCAGAAGGGTTATACTGGGGTTTGTGGGAATTGAAGGGGTTTTACTGGGGTTTATGGGGGACGGAAAGGGGGTTTTCTGGGATTTATGGGGGATGCAGAAGGGTTATACTGGGGTTTGTGGGAATTGCAGGGGTTTTACTGGGGTTTATGGGGATGCAGAAGGATTTTACTGGGGTTTATGGGGATGGAAAAGGGATTTACTGGGGCTTATGGGGGATGCAGAAGGGTTTACTGGGGTTTATGGGGGGTGCAGGGGGGATTTACCCATTTTCCTGGGATTTACAGTGCCTGCACAGGGGGGTTTTACCAGTTTTCCTGGGATTTACAGGGGATCCATAGTGGGGTTTACCAGTTTTACTGGGGTTTATGGGAGGTTCAGGGGGGTTTCACCCACTTTATTGGGATTTATGGAGTTTGCTCAGGGCACTTCCCGGTTTTCCCGGGGTGGGTGTGGGATGCAAAGGGCTTTCACCAGTTTTATTGGGGCTTATGGGGGATGCAGGGAGGGTTCACTGGGATCTAAGAGGGATGCACAGGGGTTTTACCCATTTTATTGGGATTTATGGAGATTGCACAGCAGGTTTCCCACTTTTACTGGGATTTGCATGGGATCCATAGGGAAGTTTACCAGTTTTACTGTGGTTTATGGGGAATGCACAGGGGTTTTACCCACTTTATTGGGATTTATGAAGTTTGCTCGGGGGGTTTTACCACTTTTATTGGAGTTTACAGGAAATACAGGGGACATTTACCACTTTTACTGGGGTTTACGTGGGATTCAGAGCAGGTGTGACCAGTTTTACTGGGATTTATGGGGGCTGCACTGGAGTTTCACCCAATTCATTGGGATTCATGGAGTTTGCACAGCAGGTTTTATCAGTTTTACTGGGATTTACATGGGATCCATAGGGGAGTTCACCAGTTTTACTGGGATTTGTGGAGGATGAGGAGGGGCCTTACCCATTTTATTGGGGTTTAGAGGGGATATATGGAGGTTTTTACCAGTTTTACTGGAGTTTATGGGGGATCCAGGAGGGTTTTACCCATTTTATTGGGGTTTATGGGGTATATATGGAGGTTTTTACCAGCTACACTGGGGTTTACAGGAGATGCAGGGGGAGTTTTCCCAGTTGCACCAGTTTTACTGGGGTTCCTGATGTTTGGACTGCAGGTTTCACCCATTTTCCCAGGATTTTGGGGCCATGGGGGGAGAAATCCCAGGGACCATCCTCCAGTCTGGGCTGCACCATCGCCCTCCCTGTGCCTCAGCTTCCCCAAAAGGGTCCAGCACAGGCCAAATCACCCCAGACCTCACCATCTGGGGAGATTCCACCCCCCCAAAAAAAAAAAACATCCCCTCCATCACCTTCCTCGCTCTCTTCCATGAGTTTCTGGAGCTGCTGCGCCCGGGAATTGGCGTTATCCCGATCCTGCTCCGCCTCCGCCAGGCGCCGGCCCAGGCTCCCGACCTGCACCCGCAGCTCCTCCTGGGGGCGGGAATGGGCTGGGAAAGGGGATTTTTGGGATAACGGCGGAGGGGAGGGAGGAGAAGGGGGATGTACCCGCTCCCGCTGCGCCTCCTGCAGCTCCCGTAGGAATTCCCGCAGGGCCGCCCGCGCCGCCTCGGGATCGGATGCGGGGTCGGGCTCCGGGGAGGAACCGGGGCTTCCTGACCCCTCTGGGGCCCCGCCTGGGTGGGACAAACAGCGGGAATGGGGACAAACAGCGGGAATGGGGACAGCGGGAGCAGCACCCAGGGCAGGATGGGAGGGGGAGAGGGATGGACCATATCCCACGGGATGTGCCCGTGGGATATGGGGGACCCCAGGGATGTAAGGATGGGGCAATGGGGTGGGAGGGACCCCAAGGATGCAGGGAACAGAGCAATGGGACGGAGGGACCCCAGGGATGGAGCAATGGGGTGAGGGGGGACCCCAAGGATGCAGGGAACAGAGCAATTGGGGACCCCAGGGATGCAGGGGAGGAGCAATGGGATATGTGGGACCCTGGTGATGCAGGGGACAGAGCAGTGGTGTATGGGAGACCGCCAGGGATGGAGCAATGGGGTGATGGGTGACCCCAGGGATGCAGGGAATGGAGGAATAGGAGACCCCAAGAGAACAGGGGATGGAGTAACAGGGTATGTGGGACCCCAGGGATGCAGGGGATGGAGTAACAGCTGTGTGGGACCCCAGGGATGCAGGGGATGGAATAACTGGGTATGGAGGATCCCCAGGGATGGAGCAATGGGGTGATGGGCAACCACAGGGAAGCAGAGGATGGAGTAACAAGGTATGTGAGGCCCCAGGGATGCAGGAGATGGAATAACAGGCATGTGGCACCCCAGGGAAGCAGGGGATGGAGCAGTGGGGAGATGGGGCACCCCAGGGAAGCAGGGGATGGAATAACAGGCATGTGGGACCCCAGGGATGCAGGGGATGGAGCAGTGGGCTGACTGACGGGTAACCCCAGTGACACAGTGCCCACCGCAGCACACATCCCTCTCCCCCAGCCCTGCCGCAGCCCCGGGGCTCTCACCGGGTGCCGGGGGGCCGGGCCGGGCCCGGGCCATGCCCACGGTTCTCCGCAGGGCCGCCTGGAGCCCGCCCAGCCGGGACTCGGCCGCCCGGCGCAGCTCCTCGCCCCGGGCCAGCTCCGCCTCCAGCCCCTGTGCCCGGCCCTGGGCCGCGCTCAGCCGCAGGCTCAGCTCGGCCACTTCGCCCCGCGCCGCCTCCACCTTCAGCTGCAGGTTCCGGGAATCCGCCAGCAGCTTCTTCTCGTTGCCGCGAGCCTCCTCCAGGCTCCGCGCCAGCTCCTTCTCCCGCTGCCGGAATTCCGCCTCCGCCTCCGCCAGGCGCTGCTGGAGCTGCTGGAGCTGCGGGAGCGGGAGGGAAGGAGCGATGGGACGGGGGGTGGTGACAGGGATGGAGGGCGGGGTGAGGGAGAGGCAAGGGGGGGAGTGGTGGGGGTGGGGGACCCCTAAGGATGCGGGGGATGGAGCAATGGGGGAGGGGGGACCCCAGGGATGGAGCAATAGGATGAAGGGGGACCCCAGGGATGCAGAGCATGGAGCAGTGGGGTGATTTTGACCCCAAGGGATGGAGCAATGGGATGATGAGGGATCCCTAAGGATGCAGAAGATGATGGGGGTGATGGTGGACCCCAAGGATGAAGGGGATGGAGCAGTGGGGTGACAGGGAACTCCAGGGATGCAGAGGATGGAGCAATGGAGTAATGGGGGACCCCAGGGATGCAGGGAACACAGCAACAGGGTGATGGGGATACAAGGGATGGAGCACAGGGTGAGGGAGACTGAGGGGATGGAGTGATAGGAGACCCTCCAAGAATGGAGCAATGGGATACAGGGACCTGCAGAGATGCAGGGGATGGAATGGTGGGATGACAGGAACACCCAGGGACACTCAGGGACACGGGATACCAGTTATGGGGTGATGGGGATGACTGGGGACAGCAGGCACCCAGCTGTGGGGTGAGGGGACAGCAACACCTCTGGACACACAGCGGGGGGGGGGACAGGGATACTTTGGGGTGTGGGGCACCAAGCAACGGGGTCCTGGGGATCCTTGGGGACCCTTGGGGACCCCTCACCTCCTTCCTGGCAGCCTCTGTGTCAGCCTCGCTCTCCGCCACCTTCCTCCTGAGGCCGAAGGCTTCGCGGCGGCTCCGCTCCTCCCGCTGCTCCTCCAGCGCCACGCGCGCCTGCAGCTCCCCCACCTCCCTGCTCCGCCGGCTGTTCTCGCTGTCCAGGTCCTTCACCTGGCCCGGGAGGGGACGGGGGGCGGCTTGGGGACACCCCAAATGGCTTGGGAGGTGCTCACAACCCTCCTCCTCCTCCTCCTCCTGCCCCCGGACCTGCCGGCGCAGCTCCTGCAGCTCCCGGCGGGCGTCCAGGCGGCCGCGCTCCAGGTCCCGCAGCGCCGCCCGCAGCTCCGTCACCTCCCGCTCGGCCGCCGCCCGCCCCGCCTCCAGCAGCGCCAGCCGCTGCTCCTTGTCCTCCCCGGAGCGCTTCAGGCTGCGGGAAGCGGGAGCAGGGGCTGGAAGCACCTCCCAGGGGGTCCCGGCATCCCCCCGGCTCAGCAGCGTCCTGAGCATCGCCCTGTCTGAGCCAGGCACATCCCGCTCCAAGCTGTCCCCATCCGGCGTGTCCCCTCATCCTGGATGTCCCCCCATCCCCAGATTTCCACTCCCTTGCCCCGAGTGGCATCCAGACCTGGAGCAATTGCCCCATCCCAACTGGAGCATCCCTGTGTCCTGATCCTCACCCCCACTCTGGGGACCACCCTCCAAGGTGCTGTGTCACCCCTGCACCTCTCAGCTCGTGCTTCCCCTCATCCCGAGCATCTCCCCATCCCCAAACTTCCATCCCCTTGTTCTGTGTCACCCGGACCTGGAGCATTGACCCCTCCCAACCGGAGCATCCTTGTGTCCCAACCCTCACACCGCCACCCCGAGGATCACCCTCCAAGGTGCTCCATCCCCCCCGCAACCCACTTTGTGCCCCCCGGCCCTGACCTGATGCGCTCCCCCTCCGCTCTCCGCAGGGCCGCCCGCAGCTCCTCGTTGGAGCGGCGCAGGGTCTCCTTCTCCCTGGCCTCATCGCCCAGGGCCCTGCGCGCCTCCTGCGCCTGCCTCCGCTCCGCATCCCGCCCTTCCCGGCTCTCCCGGGCGTCCCGCTGCGCTTCCAGCAGCTCCCGCCGCCCGGCCGCCCGCGCCTCCGCCGCCGAGCGCAGCTGCGCCCGCGCCTCCTCCGCCTAAAACGGGTCCGTCAGGGGAGGCCCGGGGGTCCGGGGGTGGGAGGGGGCTCGGGGCGGGGGTCACCTCCCGCAGGGCGCTGTCCCGCTGCTTGGCCGCCGCCGCCGCCTGGTCCCGGAGCGCCCGCGCCTCCCGCTCGTGGGTCTGAGCCGCCGCCTCCGCCCGCGCCCGCAGCGACCGCAGCTCCGAGCACAGGGACTGCGGGGACAAGGACACCCTGAGACCCCGCACCGGGCTGGGGGGGCCGGGGGGCGGGGAAAGGGGATGGGGCACGGAGAGGGGGTGCAATGGGGATGGGGTTCTGTACAAGGAGTGAGATGGGGATGGGGTCCCAGAGAGGGGTGCAGCGGGGATGGGGGCAAGGAGAGGGGGGTGCAATGGGAATGAGGGTACAGAGAGGGGATGCAATGGGGATGGGGGCATGGAGAGGGGTTGCAATGGGGATGGGGATATGGAGAAAGGGTACAATGGGGATGAGGGCACGGAGTGGGAGTGCAATAGGAATGGGGACATGGAGAAGGGGTGAGATGGGGATGAGGTTCCATGGAGGGGGTGCAATGAGGATGGGGGCACGGAGAGGGGGTGGAATGGGGATGGGGGCACGGAGAAAGAGCCAATGGGGATGGGGTCCCAGAGAGGGATGCAGTGGGAATGGGGTTCTGGACAAGGGGTGAGATAGGGATG